CTTGACATGTTTCTTTAATTAAATGTATTCATGTGTGTCTCTTTCCTCCCGGCATGGCCATTTCATTCTGGCCACTCCAGATATGAGCAATGAGCCTGAGACAAGCAGGTTGACTATAAGAGACCTTTGCTTGACAAAGGCTGAGATCAAATATGCAAGTAGCTAACATGGCCTCTGTCAGCACTGTTAACACATGTCTGCTTGGGTCACAACACAAGCACAGAGTTCAGCAGCATATCATGCTTTGCAGAAGATACACCAGTCTGGAGGGTCAGAGGGGGAGGAGAGACCAAGGAGAGAAATGCCTAGGTTAGGAAGCCCACAAGAGCTGAAGGTGAAGCCCAGGAGCCTTTCTCTTTACTCCCATGTGCTAAGAGCTAAGTCAACTGGCCAGCTCCTCAGATGTGAACAGAGCACAGGCTGAGGTGTAAAGTTTGCTGAGGAAGCAACAGTGACTCCTAATCAAAAGAATCCTGACTCTTACAGAAGAACCCTGCTGGCCTAGGAAACTTATAACCAGCCTGGGCTTGGGCTTGCTCAATTTGAAATGTCTGTCTTGGAGAAGGTTCTTGACCTGTCTGTCAGTCACAAAGATCAGTACACAAAGGTTTCAGTCAGGGGCGGGGTTGACTGGCAGCCTCCACAGGTCCTCTGACAAGGATGAAACTCAGGCAAAAGAAACCTGAGATAGAAATCAGCACAGGAAGCTTGGCTCTCCGTTGCTCTCACTGACTCCCACACCGGCTTTCCTCTCTGCTTGTCACAGAACTTCGGTGCTTTCCGGACACTGGTTTTACTCTGATGACATATGACCAAAGTGACAATGGAATTCGCACAATAATCTCCCAGGACAGGATGCCCCATCCCAGAGGCCACACAGCGCTGTCTGACAGGAATTCTGGAGCACAGGCTGAGAAACCAGAGGACATCGAAGGGGACAGCAGAACACTGGTGTCCCCCAAACAATCATCCTTCCTCCAGAGGCTCCAGGGCAGCTTGGCAGAGACACTGCAGGAAGCTCATCACATCTCTGCGATTACTAGATAACAGCTTTACTGAATTTATGCTGATGAATCTCTCTAGTTTATACATAACTGAGTTGGTCTTGACAGAGAGGGGCCAAACACCATTCCGCAAATATGACACAACCTCAGTTACCCAAAAGTACATCCCTCACCATGTTTCCTCCACCCCTTTCTTCATACTTAAAGAGAACAAGGCAATTTTCTCATTTCCCTTAAAAAGAAAAGATGCCATTAGTACAATCACAGTACTTATCCCCGAGAGCCACATAATCCATAGTAAAGGCAGGTAAAAGGGTTTATAACTCTTTAGTGAGTTCACGGAAGTTATACCTGATGTAAATGCCCATAATGCACCAGGATAAGGAAGTCACACACTGACACTGCTAACAGTGGTGCTGTTATCCTGTGACTCCTGAGGCAATCTGGATGGAGATGGCCAACCAGATGTCAGCAAAGAAAGGGTATTCCTCCACACACAAGCGCCCAGGGAGCAGGGCTACAGGGGCCAGGCTGGGCTTGGTCACCTTTGCTGTATCTGCCCTAAACCAATCATCCTATAACTTCCCTATTTTCTCCATTTAAATGAAGATGCTTAGCTCATGAGACTGTGATGAAGGTGATGGCTAAAAAGTTGAACCCTCTCTCACTGCCATTTTTACTCAAAAGAGAACTTTGACTGAAACACGGTCACATATGTGTGCATGTACAGGCACATACGTATGCGTGCTTTCTCTCTCTCTCTCTTTCCCTCTCTCTCTCTCTCTCTCACACACACACACAAACTCATGAACAGACACACCATTCATCTATCCTGCAATTTATGTTTCTAAGCCAGAATTTGAACTTGCAAATAGATACTTTTTAACGTCCCCTACACGTTTCATAATATACTTCTACAAAATGTTCCTTAACATGACACTGTCCCCATGCAAATGAGAACTGTTTTAGAGAATGGGTTCAGATAACATGAGAAAAGTAGGTGGAGGAGGGGTTCCTTATTGACACTCAAACATCCCTCAATCCCCTCACGTGTTCCCACGATGGGCCAGGGCTGGAGAATATTTTCCCTTTTAAATTACAGGTGATTTTTTGTCAGGAAGAGGACAACCATTTCAGAGCAAGTGAAAGTCAGAAACTAATGGCATCTACAAGTTTCAAAAATTAGTCACCGGTAACCATGGCGACGATGGAGATATTACCTAACAACTCACCGGGCTGTAAGTAACGAGAGGATGTTAACTATGCTATTTTAAGAATGGAAAAAGAAGGTCCCTATTTTCAGAGAGAAGCAATTTGCAAGAACTGAGATGCAGACTGAGAGTAACCCAGGTTTGACCCCCAAGGGGTCAAGATACACTGTGGTGTCCTACGCTGCGCATGGCTAGCTCTGTGCTTGCACAAGCATGCACAGCTGGACGAGAAGAGTGGCGACACACTATTTACAAACCAAGGACGAGGACTGGGAGGATGAGTTTTCTCACTCTCTAAACTCTTCATAAAAGACTAATCTCTGCGACTGTGGCTGAAGAACTGACGGCAGACACGCGGGCAGTTCCTTTAAACCCAACGGTAAGAATCTCTTAGGCAACAAGATCCCCCTCCAAAAATGATTACAATGCCTCAAAAATACTGAGTGTCCCCCTATTCTTAGCAGTTTAGGTTTTCTGAGCATATATGAATTTCAGATAAAAAAAGATGATACAATGCTATATGACGGTATTGATAGTGATTTTAAAAATCACTCTCAGAAATGGCAGTGCAAACATATACTCCTCAATCTAGCATTGTAACCACTTTGGATCAGAGCGCACCATGTTCCATGGGTTTAGGTCCAGCATTTTAGAAAAGAGACCTGTCTGTCCTTGAAGCACAAGGGCTCTCTCTTCTTTGGGAAATCCTTGTCTATACTACAGCAGCATTTCCTGCAGAGCTCCTTAAATGGAAACATCCAGGACCTCTCCAAAGCTCACCCGTTCAATGTCTGGTGTTTGGATTTGAAAACCTGCCCTTGTGAGAAGTTCCCTCTCTCCCTGAGATGACTATGCTCAGGGCCTTTCTTTGATTAGGGGATATGACAGCCACTGGTTGACACAAGTCAACATCCATTAGTCAAAGACAAGGCCATTTGTGAACAAGCTTATCACAACATGGGTTGAAGAATCAGTTCAATCTACATGTTCACTATGCAGGTATATGAGGAAAATATTTCACAGAAACACAGGACATACACTCTAAGTGACTCTATTGTATTCTCATGTTTAAGGCTTTGCCCATGGCCGATGAATGAAACCACAGTGATAAAATGTAACTGCCAACATTTAACTTTCCTTTATTTATATCCTCTTTATCTCACAGAGAATAGTGTGTAAATTATATAGATGCAGCAAAAGTAAAACATATTCAGAAAAATTTAGAGGAAAACTAAGTTTTTATGTATTGAATTAAAGAAACCAAAGGTATACTTAAAGACAACCAACACCTTTCAGGAAATCTAGTCCAACTACTAATTCTCCACCTGCTGCCAGCAATAGGAAAAGAAAACTTGATCACTCTTGAAAGTCCCAGAGTCCTTCTGGGAAGAAAAGGTAATTTCTGAAAGCATTTCCAGGTACCTAAGTAAAGTAGTCCTGATAACCAAAGGGCCACCGCCTGCAGGGACAGCCAGTGAGATCCAAGCAGGACACTGCACTGTTTTCACCTCCCACCATCTGACTCATGAGGAAATCCCAAGGTCACCCCAGAAACTGCTGACTGGGACAAATGAGGTCTACCATATTTTAGAACCTGAGGTCACCCAATCTTCCCTTCTCAAGGGCACTGTGTTCTCATTGGTTCCAGCTCCAGCCAGGGGACCAGGTGGCAGGAGCTGACTGGTCTCTTCCCTCCTTCGCCATCAACACCACAAGATGTCCATCCATGAGGGCACTCGGTTCCTTTATGCCTCAGCAAGTGCTCAAGAGTTTAGTGGGATCCTAAACTGTTTCAGAAACTTCCGAAGATGAAATTCTACATGCACAAAGACCTTAAGCTTCTTCTTAACTTTAGAAGTCCTGTATTGATCTAATCACTTGACTCCAGTGATTGTTTTTATCTATTAACCAGATAAAGTCAATATTCTTATATTGGAGTTTTATCTTGAGAAAAAAATTAGCAAACATAAGTGATTTGCTTACTTCAGCTTCTGGCACATAACAGGAGATGAGTCATTGCTAATTTCTCCTTCTTGTTTCCTTTCTTTCAGGGTCCTTCATAATCCTCACATATCTCTACACCTAACCAAACTTATTAAACAGAGCTCAAATCATGCACAAAGAAAGCAGGCTCCCAAGAGCCACGAAACAGTGAGCGTCCACACAACGTCACACTTCACATGACTGTTTTTGTAATTATTGTAAACAAAACAATGGAGAGAGAAAAATAAAACCCTGAAAAGAGAGAAGTAAACAGTTACTAAAATATTTGCTGTAGAAGTAGGTTGGATCAGCAGGTAAAGGCACTTGTCACCAAGGCTTGCGACTCAGGCTTGGTTCCTGAAATTTGTCCTCTGACCTCCATACCCTCACACCCCAACAAAGAAATGCAATTTAAAAGAATTAAAGAAAAAATTTGCTAAAACTAAGAGACCTACTAGAACTTCTCTCTTTTTTTTAATTTAATTTAATTTTTTTTTTAAAGATAGACTCTCTCTATGCAGCCCTGACTGTCCTGGAATTCTTTATGTAGATCAGGCTGGCCTCAGACTCACAGAGATTCACGTACCTCTGTCTCCCCAAGTGCTAAGACAAATGAACTTCACTCTCGAATGTGCTACACTATGTTTTTAATACTAAAGTAGCAGTTTTTGCTCTGCAGACCCTATTGTCACAGAGAGTGAGAGTAGGGACATAAAATTCTGACCAGCCCTAAACAGAAGAAATAGCAGCGATTGACTTCCCTTCAGTATGAGTGCCCAGACTATGTAACACAGGTGCCTACCTTTTCCGTGATGTAGAAGTTTGAGCTATCAGCATGCTGCAGTGCAAAGTATTCATGGTTGGCAAGAGACCACCTTTAGAAACACAAGTATAAATAATCAGAAACATGAAAGTGGCAATTTCTGGTTTAGCAGTTTTTATAGGACTGAGATGAACTAAACTCTCTAGAATTAGAATTGGCAGAACAGTCCTTTTTACAAGGCACTAAGTTCCCAAGACAAAATGGTATGGCCCACCCTCACTACCCAGGCCCCAGCCGTCTCATAGGTGATTGCCTAAGTCTAGTTCTACTCTTAGCACTTCATCTCTAACACACTAACACAGGGCGGGGGATGGGGAGAGGCAACATTCTTCACTCTTTTAAGACTGCAACAGAAAGAGAAAAATAAAGGAAGTAAACAACAGTTTACATTATAGGCGATTAACACTCTTCAGCTGTCTCAGAATCCAAACTCTCACTTGGTATAGCTGACACCTATTGGATCACTCCAATTAAGTGTTTCAGGTCTTACATATTTATAGGGAATATTTCAGATTACCGGTTCTGCTGTGCCTGTCAGCACATCGCAGATACCTTTCAAATGTGTTCTCCCCTTGGATTGTCAGCTCACAGAGAGAAGTAGGAAAGCCCCATGGCATGTGAGGTTCTGCATCTTCTCTGACACATGAGTGGTTTCAGCTTTTTTCAGATGGAGTGTGTGCTTAACCCCAAGAACCTTTAGATTGCTCCCTACTGGGAAGGCCAAAGAGCACGACTCGCCAAAATAAACAAAAGCAAGCCTACGGTGCAGAACACCCGGCTACTTCACAGTCGGCTCTTGGAGGAAGAATGGTTCAGACTAGCAGAATGGGGTGCAGGCTGCACACAGCAACTGTGGGTGACTCTGGACAGACTGAGTGGTGAGTTAGGAACATATGGATGACTAGCACTTATTTTTAATGCTGTGAAGAATGTTCGCTACTCCGCTGCAAGCATTTTATTTGCCTAGTCTACACAGACGAGAAGGCCTCAGCCAAGCCCCCAGTGACAGTGACACTTACCCATCACAGACTTCCTTTATTATTGCAGACAGTGGTTTTTTCTGGGAGGGAGAAAAAAAGGAAATACGGTCAGTTTCATTTCAATATTTTAAACAAAAAAGAAGCTACTAATAAAAAAAAAAAAGTTTAAGCGAGGAAAATTTACATTTGCTGTTCGTAGCCGCCAATGGGTCTCTTACTTTTCTCGGGGTAACAAACCACGAGGTGCCCCATGAAATTTAACTATTCATTACCACTCTGGTCCTTGGTTCTATACTGAGAATTATCGTCGTATTTAAGTTTGTCTTATTATTAAATGGGAGCCTGTAAGGTCAAGCTGTACAGGAATCAGGCATGCAGCCCTTTGTTTTTTTTTTTGTTTTGTTTTTTTTTTTGCAAACAAGCTTTAATTCATGGTCTCCTATTAAGATTTATTTTATCTTTTATTTATATGTTTGTGGGGGGTGGGTTCATGTGCACACAGAGGTGGCCGTAGCCCCCTGGAACTGGAGTTACAAGTGGTTGGGAGCCACCTAATGTGAATGCTGGGGAACTTAACTTGAGTACTCTAGAAGAACAATGGGAAATTTTAATTATTGACCCATCTCTCCTGCCGCCGATCCATGCTAATTTTATGAGAACATGTGGCAAATGGGATTTGGGGGACAGAGCATTGTCCTTGCAGGTATGTAGACTTTTCACCCAACTGTGGCCCCCAGAGAAAAGCGATTATGACACCATGTGCCGCTGCGTCAACTGGCGGCTGACCACAGCTGTGCCATTGCTCTAACTGCCACAGCTGTGCTCTGCCTGCCCCCACGCAGAAGGAATGCACCGAGGAGAGACAAGCAGACACTAGCTGTCAGCCAGGGAAGAGGGATGAGAGGAGGGTGTCAACCGGAAGAAACCCCAGACAAGGAACGGATACCAGGAAGAGAGGACACACATGCCAACCCACAGTTCTGGGCTGGAAAGGCACCCATTAAAAAAAGTGCCCCTGCCCCTCTGAAGAGCTAGCGGTGTGGTACCCAGAAATTCTGACTCAGACTGGCAAGCTGAGACACTGGCAGCCTACCATATCTGCAGTGTAAGCTGTTGTTAGCTTAATCTTATAAACATCACTAACTGATCTGTAAATGAGGAGAGCTGCTACCCAACCTGAAGGCTGTTATGAAAATTAAATGATTATAGCTAAATAGGAATTACGTTTAAAGAGGGTTCTAAAATGGTTGGGTTCCTTGCCCGCCAGTGTTGCTGACAAAGCTCATCCTTGGCCTTGAGCAAACAGCTGCCTGTCTACAAGGGAGCTCGAGGCGTTGCTCCTATGGTCCTCCACAGGCTTCAGTAGCCCCCTGAAGGACCGAGCTGATGAGCAGGACTCCAAAGGAACTTTACCACCACATTCTCCTCCATGGACACAAAGCGATGTCTGTCTCTGCCTGCAGCTCTGCACATAGTAGGTGGGGAAATGGAACCAGATGGCTTTTTTTCTTTAAGTTTTTCTTTTGTTTAATTACTTAGATACATACATGAATAGACATGGTATCTGCACTTGTTTGGCCTACAGCATGACATTTCAATACATGCTGCATAGTATGTAGAAACTGGCTCCGGGTAAATACATACATGCATGCATACATACATACATACATACATACATACATACTTCCCTAGACACACATCATTTCTTTGTGTTGGGAACACTCAAAATCATTTTTACTAGCTGTTTCAAGTTTTTCAAGTAATTCTTATCTAACACAACTATTCCACTATCCTTCAAAATATTATAGATTGATTATTATTTCTCCTGGACTAGAGAACGGCTTGCTGGTACATCATCACATATTTAGAGGGTTGGGTGAGGCTCTGGATTAAATACCAAGCACCATATTAGAATTAGCCTCTCTTTTTCAGTTGCATCCCTGTCCACTAACCATCCTCTCGCCATACTGTGTACATATCCCATACTAGGCTCCAGCAAACACTATTTAATTCTCAACTTGAAATTATTTTAACGTTCTCATAGTACTCAAAACTTTTATTGGGCTTTTCAAGTCTGACTTATTTCACTCAGCATTGTGTCCAGGGGAACCAAGGATTCTTGGGAAAAGCCCCAGAATCTGGTATTTCCAACATCCTGAGTCAATTGCATTTTAGAGTAAGGAAGAAATCTTGACTTGACTCCTAGAGTTCAGTTACATGCTGTACACGCCCTCACCCTCTGCCAGGGCCTGTCCACTGACTGCATCTGTGAACTGGAAAACAAATGTGTTCTTAGAACCAAATGGCAAGAAACTTTATGAACAAAATTTTCACAGATACAGGCCTCTAATTCCAGGATTCTGGAGATAGAAGCAAGAGGGTCTCAAAATCAAGCTCAACTTGGGTTATACAGTAAGACTATCTCAAAAAATAAAAACAAAGATTATCAAACAAATAGAAAAGTCCTTCTAGTAAGATAACAACTTTGTATATCCAGTTGGTTAGACCCCTTCAGAATATGAGGACGTAAGGAAAATTCTAGCAGAGTCCCATGGCCCCAAATCTTACTCCTTGTGCCCTCAAAGACAAGACCTAAATAACAAGATCAGGCTCCAGTCTTAAATCATACTAGAGAGGGAGATCAAGCCAAAAGGGCATGGTTGCTGCAATAGGACAAGATTTCCAAAGCCACTGTTCGGAAACAAGCCAATCCTCTAAATCTAGGACTCAGAAAATGACTTGGGTTTTAATTCACATCAGATTCATAGACACAGAAGCCGGTTTAAAAAGACTCTGGGATACTATTATATCTGGAACATTCTGAAGGTGGATATGTGAAAAGAATAAAGACCTTAAAGTCGAAAAAGCTTGCAAACTCAATATAAAAAGATGAAACAAAAATTCTCACCGACAGAGCAAAAGGAACAATGGTGAGTTGAACATTCAAAATTCGTCTCAGCCAATTAAAATGCCGGTTACATAAGGATGGAACAGGATCTATGGCCCAGTTTCTGACCCTTCCCCTATCTGCTCTAATCAAACAGCCCATAGCAGTTCACAGCTTCCTTTTCCTGTCAGCCTCAGCTGACACTGTTGGTTGCTCTAGGAAATCATTAGCTCCCACTTTTTTAAGTCAGTCAAATCTGATATCCGGTTGTAGTGTATGTGCTGTTGATAGTCACAACAATACGTCACCCTAATCACTTCCTTCCTCTCCTCTTTTTCCTCCTCAGAACTCCTCTTCTCCAGAACTCCTGCCATCTCAACCAAATTCGATCCTTAGATGAAGCCTTCAACAGCACCTGCCACCATGGCATCCTGAACTCTGCTTCTCCAGAACAAGAAGCTCCTGTAACATCAACCCTTAATTAGTAACTGCTTCCATAACTTTACAGCCAGCTCAGACTTATTGTCTATGAATTCCTACACTCCGGGTACTTATTTTAGCAGGTCTTCCAGGCACATTTCCGAGAACTTGTCCTGCTTCCGCCTTCTTCTGCTCCCTTCCGTGACACAAATATTTACAGGACAGCACATCTTATGTGGTCATTGCCATCATCACAATCTCTTTCTCTTTCCCAGTTGTACCTACCACCTTCATTCTGGGGTGTAAGTCCCAGAGGCCTGCAAATTAAGTCTCCACATCTCTAGTCTTATTTAAACAAAATTCAAATTTTCACTCAAATTTTACTCGTGTGTCTCTTCTAACATCTTACATGGATTTTTAGTGATCACTGCTATCTATGAAGTATATAAATTCCTAAGTTTGACATGCAACGCCTTCCATGGTCTGCTGCCAAAAAATTCAAATTTTCACTCAAATTTTACTCGTGTGTCTCTTCTAACATCTTACATGGATTTTTAGTGATCACTGCTATCTATGAAGTATATAAATCCCTAAGTTTGACATGCAAGGCCTTCCATGGTCTGCTGCCACGAAAGCCTTCTCTGTCCTAATGACCCATGCTTCTAAATACTGTGGATAATTGAAATAAATATGCTAGATCCACATTTTCACTGTGTCATGTGCTCTGTTGAAAATGCCCCCTTTCTCTTTTAAAACCTGAAATCTTACAAATTATTTATCATCCATATCAAAGCCATCTTCTCCAAGTACATGTCCCTGATTTTGCCAGAAAGACGTAATTATTCTCTTTTTACCTGGAACAAAAATGACTCACTCCTGAACACCTTGCATATTGTCTTTTCTTCTTGTCCCCTGAAAATGGGGCAGCTTAGTTCTTCTGTGACTTCTCCCATTCTCCACCCTCAGGGTAAGTATCACAGTATGTAGGTGCCAGGAGAGAGACTCAACGGTTAGGTTAACTGGAAATCCATAAATTAACTGGTCCTAAAAACCAACATGTCCATAGCGCATTTGCCTGCTTAAACTGTATCCTGAGTTCACGTCTAAAAACACTAGTCAAATAATCAAGATAAAAGAAAGTATAAGTAAGAAACAAACTATTTTAAAGCAGAGACGGGGATAATGGGCAGGTTTCCCACTTCTCACAACGTTCTCCACTACTGGGTGGCTTTTAGCAGCTGTTGGCCGTAAGCTCCCAGATATACAGAAGCTATCGTTACTCAGCACAGATTCCGTCTCGGGGGAAATGCAGTGCACGGCCTGGAGCCAGACAGCTGATGAGGAGAACTCTGCGGATGATAAAAGAGATGCAGACCACAGGCCAGCACCATCAGTATGCAGTACTCAAAAGACAAGACAAGCTCCGCTCAAGTCAGACTAAGATACCAAACCGGAAAGTCCAGGGCTGGCATCCTAGTTTTCTCACTTCCTGTATAAACCTTCGAGTTAGGCATCAGTTGGCTCACTGGCCCATGAGTTCTACGCCGATCATCATTTTTGTCAATGGTCTAGCTAGGTAACACTTGTTTAAGATGTTTTACGAGTTGTCACTGTCTTCAAGATTGGGAGAAGAGCGACCTGAGCAACACATTCGGCCATAGCTTTCTAAGATTTGCTGAATACTTCTCCTTTCACTCGGCGTCCTAGTTTCCTTCCTGCTGCTTGGATAAAACACTAAGACCAAAGTCAGCTCGAGGAGGAACGGGTTTCAGC